TATAAAAGAGTATAGGGAGCTATGGAGCTATAGGTCTAGGACCCAGTACCATATACATGACATGGTGAGTGATTTTTTTTTTTTTTTTTTTTTAAAGAGTATAGGGAGCTATGGAGCAATAGGTCCTAGGACTCTGCACTGTCTAAATGCTGTAATCAGTCTGACCTGGGTGTGAATCCTGGTTTTAGCATTTCCCGGTTGTGTGACCGGGAGCCCTGGCGGCACAGTGGTTAAGAGCTTGGCTGCTAACCCAAAGGTCAGCAGTTCAAAGCCACCTGCTGCTCCCTGGAAACCCTATGGGGTAGTTCTACTCTGTCACTATGAGTCGGAATCAACTTGATGGCAATGGGTTTGGTTTTCGGTTTTGGTTGGTTGTGTGACGAGGGGCAGGTTACTTGACCTCTCTGGGCTTCATTTCCTCATCAGAACAGGGCTAATAACAACCATACTATAAGACTGCTGTGGCATAACAGTGTGTGGTACACAGTGGGTGTTCAATAAATAGCAGCTCCTTTCTCTCTTTCTTACATTATGTCTTCACTGAGGCTGTCCATAAGAACATGATAATCTGGTGACAGAATTAAGTTCCATATCTTCCTATTCTCTCAAGTTCAGTATATTCCTTAGAGGAGATAATCCATAGATGTTTACAGAATGCATCCTATATATTACAGGTGCTGGAGCCCTGGACTCCATTCTCTAAACCTGTCCCAGGCTTCAGATATGCTGGTGTCAACGAGGCCTGCTAAGAGACTTTTATGGCCAAATACAATACTCCATGAAAGGAAAGGTATTGGTCTTCACAACTAAGACTTTCAGCAAAAACCTAGAAAAGGCAAGCTCCAGGGAGTCATGTTCTCCAGCTCTTAGCCACCATTCAGGCCCCAAGAGAGGGAAGACTAGGATTCTAGGAAAGCTGAAGGAAGAAGGCAATGATAAAGCCCATTTAAAGCAGCATCTATACTGGAACAGGCACTGTATTTGGAACTTTACATTTAATATTTCATTTGTTCCTCAGATTTTTTTCTTTATCAGATAAGAACACTGAGGCTCAGAGAGTGTAAGTAACTAGCATAAGGTCCCATAGTGGTAGAGTCCAGTGTCTGGCTGTCTCCAAAATTCATGTTCTTTCCACTACAGCAAACTATATCATATTAACAACCCCATGGTTGTTGCTTGTTTCAATTTGCAATGCAGCAATTTAGTCATTTTAAATTAATCCTTGAAAAATCACCAAGAGATTAGAATGCAAATTTCAACGTGGCTAGAGCTCAATAGTGATTCTATGTCAAAAATCACACAAATTGGTCCTACAAAGTTCAAATTCTCCTTAGAGGAAAGGCTTTCCTGCTTCATTTCGTATTTGAGATAGAAAAAATAATTTTTCTCCTCATGAATATAAAAAGTCAACTCTAGGGAGGCAGAGAGGTATTGCAGAAACAAAATACTATGGTTCCTTACAAATCAGGGTTGCTACACCCCACTTAGGAGCAGACCTCGAGTGAGTAACCTCAGGTCTGTGAGCTCTAGGTTCCTTACGTGTAAAACAGGGCTCCTGTCTACCTTTCGCAGACTAGCTATAGGGATTAAAATGAAATCATGGGTAAGGAGTCTGGCAGATTGTTATTATTATTCCTGCTTAGAAACAAACAAGGCTAGCCTTCTATTGGTTTGCAAAGGAGGATTTAGGGGACAATAGGTCATACACAGAGAATTAGTTCATTAATGGCAAAATCAGCAGACAGAATGTAGATGTTTTAAATGGTGGGAGGAGTAGAGGTAGCATATAAAACGGACAGGAATTGGAGGTGGGGCTGCCAAGAAGGCAATTTTTAAAAAGGATTTCTAATCTCAATAATTGTGGTTTTGGAAATTTAGAAATTATTTGAACTTTCAGGTATCTTAAATTTAAGTTCTAAAGGAATTCTCAGTCCCTGAAAAAAAAGTGAACCTAACCAGGCAATAATTTTTATTATAACAGTATTTATAATAGAAAAAAAAAAATAGAAACAATCTAAATGTCTATTAATAGGGAAATCATAGCTAGAACACTGTGGGGATTTCTAGTAAAATAAGCTAAGTTAAACATATATATTTATCTTTTCTCTCTCCTGATAACCTGCCCCAAAAGAGAATTCATGAGAGGTTCTTAACCTGAAGCCATTTGGACACCGTCCCCCGCCCAGTGGACACTGGCAATGTCTGGAGATGTTCTGGTTGTCACAGCTTCGGGGGCACTGGGTAGGGGGGGTGCTGGAGCAGGGGGTGCTACAGGCATCTAGTGGGTAGAGGCTGGGGTGCTGCTAAATATCCTATAATGTACAGGACAATCCCGCACAGCAAGAATTATCCAACCCGAGCTGCCAACAGTGCTGAGGTTGAGAAACCAAAGGTAACTGACTTGACGGTCCAGAGGAGGCTGAAACCTAAGGCTGGGGTGGGTAGACGGGGCAATAAACATCAAGTCCTATTCACACACCAACGAAACCAAACCTGTTGCTGTCGAGTTGACTCCGACTCATAGTGACCCTATAGGACAGAGTAGAACTGCCCCATAGGGTTTCTAAGGAGTGGCTGGTGGATTCGAACTACCAGTATTTTGGTTAGCAGCCAAGCTCTTAACTACTGTGCCATCAGGGCTCCATTCACACCACAGAATTCTAAAACGGCTCAGGAATTGGAGACACCCAGAACCTCTGAAGGCTAGAAAGAAAGGTGTAAATAAAAATAAGAGTGATTCAATCCCAAGATTCTCCACCCCCAGCTCACCCAACTAGTCAACTGGCTTTCCCATACCTCTCTAGAAGAATGAATGTTTACTTTCAAGGGGAACTGAACCAGAAAAGCTTGGGTCAAGTGTAGCTGAAGATGGGGGATAAACCATTAAATCAAAAACAGGGAGCACTAAAGTATACATACTAAATGTTGAAACTCGTGATACCCATAACCCTTCCCTCCTCACACTCAGCTCCCAGAACACTGGTAATAAAACTTACACTTTCCAGGCAAGAGACTAGAAGATTCACCCCTGAGTTCAAAAGAAAAGATTCTGATACCAATATTTGAGAGTCCCCTCCAATCAACCATCATCTTCAATAAAGCCCACCAGGTGGCAAGCCCCATTCATGAACACAGAGCTTCCAATTAGCTTTTTAGTGCTCCATTCTTAAATGTGACTGGGCAGCCATTTGAGGAAAGCCTCTACCAACAAAGACAAAAAGCAAAACAAATAAACAGGAGAGAGGAACATTCAAGAAAAAGACAATGCAAGGAGAAGACCAATTTTTAAAAACTATAAATAGTAGTCTCAGAAATGAGAGAAATATTCGACCTACAAAACAAGAATATTATGTCATTAAAAAAGGAAAAATTTACTGAACAACAACAAAAAGCACTTGGATATTAATAGTATGATAGCAGAAATAAGAAATTCAAAAGAAGGGTGGAAAGATCAACTGAATAAAGTAAAAAGAAGGCTAAAAAAGAGAGATGGAAAACGACAGAAAAGATAAGAAAATTAGAAGATCAATGTCCTACCATAGAGGTCCCAGAAAAAGAAAGATAACACAAACACGATTTTTTTCAAAGAAATAATGTGAGAAAATTTCCCAGCAACAAAGGACATGAGTTTCCACACTGAATGGGCACAAGTGCCCAGCACAATAGATGAAAACGAACCCATAGCAATGCACACTGTTGCGTAATTTCAGCATCCAGATCGGAAAAACCAAACCCACTGCCACGAGTTGATTCCAACTCGTAGTGACCCTATAGGACAGAGTAGAACTGCCCCACAGGGTTTCTGAGGCTGTAATCTTTACAGGAGCAGACTACTACATCTTTCTCCCACAGAAAGCCTGCTGGGTTCAAACTGCTGACCTTTCAGTAAGCAGCCAAACACTTAACCATTGCACCACCAGGGCTCCTAATTTCAGCATTCTAGGGACAAATAAAGAATCCTAAAAGAATCAGGGATCAAAATGGCTACGACTTCTCAGTTGCAACAGGAATACTAGAAATCAAGGGAGTGATGTCTTCAAAGTTGTGAAGGTAAAGATGACATCCAACTAAGAATTCCAAACCCAGTCAAACTATCAATTAATTATAAGAACAGAATAAAGTCATTTTCAGTCACGCAAGGTCTGAAAAGGTTGTCTACAATGTGCACTTTCTCAGAAAACTACTGAAGAATGTTTTTCCAAAATGACAGAGGAAAATCAAAAAAGAGGAAGACATGAAGTCCAGGAACTCATATGTGACAAAAACTTGTACAAGAAACTAAATGTAATCATAATCTACTACCCGACTCAACATGTGAATTAAAATGTAAACATTAACTACTAATTTTACCATTTTATAATTAATTAAATTGTAATTTCTTTTTCTAGTCTTGGCTTTTTTGTTGTTGTCATTATTTTTCTAGTTTCTTGAATTGAAAGTCAAGTTCATTATTTTCCATATTTTTTATTTATAATAAAAGCATTCAAAGCTATGAATTTTCCCCTAAGTGTGGTTTTGGCCATATTCCTTAGTTTTTTCCTGCTTGTCATTAATTTCTAAATAATATCCATTTCAATTCTTTTATGGAAAATTCTTTATACAGAAATACTTATTTTACAACAGCAAAAACAAGAAACAAATGTACAACAGTGAGGGAATGGCTAAGTAAATTATACAACAAACAGAATATTGTGCAGTCAGTGTAAATAATTCTTATGAATGAAAATAGGAAATGCTTTTATAATAGGTGATTACACCTATGTAAAAAATACATTCTAAAAAGGCTGGAAGGAGGTATTAAAATGTTATTAAGTGATCACCTTGAGAAATATGAATAATCGTCTCTCCTTGTCTTTATATTTTTCTATACTTTTCATATATTTTCTAATTTTAATGCACTATTTTTATAATGGACAAATAAATCCTTTTATTTAATTTTTTAAAAAAAGAAGAAAGAAAGAAGAACAAAAATTTAACTTTTTCTCCCCCAAAGTACTCACATTCTCAGGTATGCTGGGAAGTTCCCTGGTATCAGGCACAGTAAAATAAGAATGCTGGAAAACAAAAGAAAAAGCTATTTATTTTTTTTGCAAAAATGTTCAATGAGCACATTACTCAGAATTCTGATAAAATGATCTGAAGCTATTTCCTTACTTAGATGAGGAAACATTAGTTTCACACATAGGAAATGCCCATGGAATGTTTTCTTTGCATAAAGTTTGGTTAAAGCCGGATGCATTAAATCATCAGTTTGGATAGATGGAGTTCTTTTCTATAACAGATGAACTTCTTTGGGAGATATAAATGAAGAGCTCAAAAGAAGTTAAAGGCTAAATTTCCATAAAACGTTTGCAGGCTTCTGAACACATGAAACCTGCAGGCTTCGTAATTTATTGTTCAATGAGGTAAGTGGACTCTAGGGACGAAACATCACTAGGTTCATTTAGCAATGGTCTTTACCAACCAAACCCGCCACTTCATTTCAGCATCTGAGATTACATCCATCCACAGGCTTCAGCTAAAATCAGCCACAAAGGCCCAAGTGATGTTAAGGACAGCTCCAGCTGAAGGACTGCTGCTCAGAGAGCACTACGGATGGCTAACAGTGGAGAAACTCTGCCCACCACGCATGTGCTGCAAATAAGCCTCCTGGCTTCCAATAGAATCTCCAACGAAGGGAGTTGGAGACTCAGTGGAGTTGAAAAATTGACCTGTTCAAAGAACTTTCAATGAGGCATCTCTATGTATCTAACAAGTATGTGTCCCTGAGTTAAATGACAACAGGCTGAACTGATGACACCTCCTCTGCTGCTTAAAGACTCAGAGGACAATGGCAAGCAGGAATGAAAAAAGCCTGGTGCTGGCCAACTAAAGATGGAATTGTGCAAAGGCCAGGGAAGGTCGCATGCAGAGAAGGTCAGCTTAGCCATGGCCTAAGTTCAAACCTGGACCTCCAAGTCACATTTCAAGAAGCCCCCCAACACCCAACTCTGTCCTTATTCTTGGATAATTGCAAAGTAGGTCTCTAGTAGAATGAGTTGTATGGGCTTCTTGAAATGAAAGGCACTGGGGACAACTATAAATAACGACAACAACAATAATAGTATGAGCTACTTGTCTAATACTCAGTAGATATTTATTGAATACCTGCTACATGTCTGGCTTTATGCCAGTCACTTCACAAATATTATTTCTCATTTCCATAACAAATTTTGAGATAAATACTATCTCTTTATCACAAATGGGAAAAGTAAGGCTCAGAGAAGTAAAGTTACTTGTCTAAGGTTGAAGAGCCAGGAGATGGCAAAACTGGGACTGAAATAAGATCTATACAACTACAGAGCTATACTCTCTCCACGACAACAGACTGTTATATCTATGCTGCCTACATGCAAATGACAGCTAAAGTCACTTGAATTAAAATAATAAACTAAATAATAAAAAGCAGAAAAAAGCAAAAGATAACATTTAAAAAACCCTCTGTAAAGCATTATTCCAAAATCTGTCTGTCTATGCCAAAATATTACCTAAAAAGTATTACAACAGAGATTATGTAGGCATGGAAACTAGCTAACAATTCAATTTAACAATGAGGATTAAAATAGGAAAAGTAAAATACAAGGTTCGATTTGACTCTATGAGATACCACCTGCTCCATCAAATGGCTAGAACAGAGTCCCAGGAATTGTTCAGTAAGGGATCTCCCCACAGTGATGCAGTCACAAAGTAATGGTTTTGCACAATGAGGGAGAAAGAACATGGACCAGAGTCAGCTATTTAATGGCTCTGTGATCTTAGGCAACTTCACTCAGCCCAGAACTTCAGTTTTTTAATCTGTAAATGGAAATCAGTATTACACCTACTTCAAAACTGTTGTTAAGAATAAGTGTTATATATTTGAAGGGTCTAGCATTCAATAAATGGTATTTTAATATAAAATTTTAGCATTGCTCTCAACTGCTAGTTTATATTTCTATTTTTCTCAACATCTATATCAGACATACAGAAATATTCTCTTGTAGAAAGTGACTAAAGATAAAAAGTCCAGGACTGTCATTTTATCAACATTTCAGGATTCATAATCTAGATGAGACTAGTCCTTCAAAATCAGAAATAAAACATAGAAAGTGGAATTCCCAGTGAACAGGAAAGAAAAAACATCTGCCTTTACAGATCCAATGGATTGTAAAGAGCGAGCCAACTTAATTCCAAAACCAAGTAATTCCCAGGCTGTCCTTTGAGATTCTGTCTTGCTCCATCGCCCATGAAATGCTGGGGACCAGGGGAGGTCAGAAACATTCCTAGAAACCACTGGCATGAAACAGCTGCACCACCCCAACAGTCCTCTGGCCCCCGAGATGGCTTGTCCTTGAGGCCTGGCAGGCACTCTGCTTGTGCGGCCATTCGAGGGAGCACCTCCCCAGCAGCTGGTGACCCAGCCAGGCTACTCCACCACTACCTGTCGGATGTCATTACATACTGAAGCGGTGAGATCAAACTGCTTAGTAAAAAGGATAGAGACAAAGACAGAGTTGTTTAGCTTACAGCAAAACTGATGCAGATTTAAAGCTCATTTGTTCATCTTTTCCAGACAACCTCCCTTAAGAGAGTTTCTGTTTAGGAACAAGGTCCCTTTCCTTGCTATGCTCTGTTAAAATGGGCAAAAATCTGTTTCTTTCTTTTTTTTTTTTTTAACACACATGGCATAGTGGAAAGAACATAGGCTTTGATGTTAGGCCTGGCTTTGAAAACCCGTATCTTTTCACTTATTAACCGTGAGACTATGGTGGGCCTGTATATTTTCCTCTCTAAACCTTTATTTTCTCATCTATGAAATGGGAATGTGAATATCTATTTTGTAGATCTGTTTTGAACATTATAAATACATACTTGGCAACATAACTAATAATGCACCAACAGGAATAAGAGAAACTAGACGACTAGGACCTCTTAAAAATTAAACACTTATGCACATCAAAGGACTTCTCCAAAAGAGTGAAAAGAAAAGCTACAGATTGGGAAGAATGTTTTGGCAATGACATATCTGACAAAGGATTAATCTCTAAAATTTATAGAAAATTTCAACACCTCAACAACAAAAAGACAAACAATCAAATTAAAAAGTAGGCAAAGGACATAAACAGACACTTCACCAAAGAAGATATTCGGATGACCAACAAATACCTGAAGAGGTGCTTGCACTCATTAGCCATTAGAGAGATGCAAATCAAAAGAACAATGAGATACTATCTCACCCCTGGCAATAATGACTGATTAAAAAAAAACAAAAACAAATGCTGGTGAGGGTGTGGGGAAATTGGAACTCACACACTGCTGGTGGGATTGTAAAATGCCAAACACTGTGGAAAACGGTATGGCGCTTCCTCAAAAAGAGACACTTTCTGATCCAGCAATCCCACTCTTAAGTACATATCCTAGAGATATAAGAGCTGTGACACGAATAGATACATGCACACCCATGTTCATCACAGCGTTATTCATAATAGCAAAAAATTGGAAACAATCTAAGTGCCCATCTATGCATGAATGGATAAACAAACTATGGCACATACACACAGTGGAATACTATGCAACGTTAAAGAATAACGATGAATCTGCGAAACATCTCACAACATGGATGAACCTAGAAGACATCATGCTGAGTGAAGTAAGTCAATCCCAAAGGACAAATATTGTCTGAGACCACTATTATAAAAAGTCAAGAAAAGGTTTACATACAAAAAGAAACATTCTTTGATAGTTACCAGGGGTGGAAGGCGGATGGAGGGAAAATCACTAACTAGACAGTAGACATGTATTATTTTGGGTGAAGGGAAAAGCAATACACAATAAGGGGGATGTCAGCACAACATGACCAAGGCAAAGTAAGACACTGGGAGGAACCCAAGAGTAAAAGGAAACAATGGTAAATACTATTACATACACAATCCTGCAATAACAGTAATAACAAACAATAATTTATAAGTGAATACATAGGTAGATATATAAGCTGAACAGGTGTGGGATGGTGTATGGGAGTACACCCATGAGCATACACAGGTTTGGCAGAAGATATTTCTACATTAGTATTTGTATGTGCTGCAAATATATCTATGTATATAGAAGAGCACATATAGTAGAGGACAAGAGGAGGCTGAGATGTTTGGGACCTGTTCCTCATGGAATCCCAGAGAAAGAAGAAATTCAACTTGCTGGCCTGCCTTGAGCCCAGACGTCTCAGAGTATTCAGGGATAGAGGTGAGAGAGGTGCAGACAACAAAATACCATCCTGTTTGGCTAACCCCCTCTTACTGTTAATAATGAAGTGGTTTCAGTGAGTGTTAGTATTCTGCCCACTTACCACGCTGAGATGAACAGACACTCCGGGGTCAGGGATGGGAAGTTTGTGCAGAGTTTCAAGAAGTTCATTCCACTGACTCTCCTGAAAGAAATAAAAGGTCTAAGCAAGGCAGAGCCTTTATAGTCAGGGACCTGCAGGGAGGTTTGAGCCCAGAGTGAGCTGGGGGCCCTCATGACTAAAGGAGCTGGAGAGATGCTGGCCCCAGTACAGAAATAGGTTTGATTCTCAAGTAGGGTTAGACAAAAGACACTGCTTATGGCTCAAACATAAGAGCTAAACTGATCCTCCCACGCTACGTTTGACATTTTCTACTCAGTGAGACACCTACCATGACCGCCTTTTATGTATCATATACCATAAGCTCTCAGCTCCTCAACTCCATAGCAACAACTTTTAAATGCAAACAACCCTAGCTTAAGGAGGGCGGGTGGTTGTGAGAAATAACGATGACACTATAGATCTTGTCTTCATCATTACCTTCCATTAATTTTAGTGAGTGTTCACTGGATACACACAGCAGCCTCCAATTACAGAAAGTTAGAAATGAACTACATACAGCAGCATGCAATATACGATGGTGGCTGTGCATTTTAATTAGTAAAATTGAGCCACAAGAATGACATACAAAGCAGTACAAATTATTTGGTTGAAAATGGATTCACCTTTGAAAATGCTCAAAAGAACAATGCTCACAGAATTATCCAAAAACCATTTCTCCCATCCTATGGAATTCTCTGTGCTAATAGACTAGCAGTATGCTTACATTTGTACCCATTTGATATCTGTTTTATCCTCACAGCTACCCTACTTTACAGATGTGGAAACCGAGGCTCAGAAAGTTGAAGCAATTTGGCTCAAATCAGACAGTAAGTTGCAGAGCTGGAATCTAAATTTAGGTCTTCTGTGTTCAAGCCGGAGTCTTCTCTGCTGTACCACAGCTGTCCTTGGTAGTGAACTTGGGAGGAAAAAGAGAATGAACCCAGACTACAAGCCTGCTCCAATATGAACTCTGACAAATCACTCAAGTTTCTCACAGAGGAGAGAAATAAAACGTGTGTGTGTATGTGTGTTATTTTTCTCTAGAACAATCTCAAACTTACAGAATAGTTGTAGGAAAGGTACAAAAAACTTTTTAAAAAAAAATTTCCCGAATGATTTGAGAGTATGTTCCATCATCCATAAATATAAACAAGGACATTTTCCTACATGTAACTACAATTAATTACCAAAATCAGGAAAGTAACATTGATACAACATTACAGTCTAATCCTCAGATTCCTATCAAGTTTTGCCAGCTGTGCCAATAATGTCCTTGACAGCAAAATAATCCAGTTGAGAATCACATGTTGCTTTTAGCTGTCATGACTCTCGTGTCTTTGTCAGTCTGGAACAGTCCCTCAGTCTTTCTTAGTACTTGTATGGCCTTGTCAGTTAGGCCAGCCATTTTGTAGAACGTCTCTCTCGATTGTCTGATGTTTTCTCTTGATTCAGATGTCAATCTGTCCCTTTAATGATGATGTTCACTTAGATCATTTCATTAATTCATCTGATGTCTCCACTGTGGGGTTCTTTTGCTTTTCGTATTTAATAAGTATTTTGTGGAGAGACACTCTATGTAAATATCCTATCTCGCATCAAACTTTTAATTTATCCATCTCCTTTTTTTTTTTTTTTTTTTCAGTATGGATGTATGGTTTTCTGTTTTATTCAATGGGTTATAGTCCTTTGCTACTATTTGTTTTGATGCTCAAATTGTCCCAGATACGACCAGTGGGAGCCCCTTGGCCCTTCAAGCTCACTTTTGTATCCTTCTGACATGTTCCCATCATGTTTTGAACACATCTTTACTTTTTGGCACAAAAAGATATTCTAGGCTCATCTTATACTTTCCCTGCTCCAGCCCTGGAATCAGCTAGTTCTTCAAGGAGTCTTAGTTCCTTTCAGTGGAGAATGGATTTTAGAAACCAAGATCTGGACACTAGGTGTGCTCATTGCTACTTGAGTAATTGCTGATCCCAGACTCTTTCAGTGAATAGATTATATACACAGAGACCCATAATACACTCATCTATATTTATTTCTATATCTAGCTACACATATTAAAAGCCACAGGTTCACAGTGATAGCTCCAACTGCAATCCAACATAGGAATCATTCTAACTTCCTCCTTTTACATATTTGAGAAAGACCTGGCGGTCTGCTCCCATAAAGATTACAGCCTAGGAAACCCTATGGGGCAGTTCTACTCTGTCCTATAGGGTCGCTATGAGTCAGAATCGGCTCAATAGCACACAACTACTTTCTATGACGGTGAAAAATCTTGCCCTTATTTTCTTAACGTATTTACTTATATGTATGTAACCAAACTTCTTATCGCTGCGCCTCCCTGCCTCCCCATCCAGATACCCTCCCTGCCCCACTCGGACACTGAAACCTAGTGCTGGGCTGACACCATCCATCACCACACATAAATGCCCTCCCCACCTCAGACTCCAACACCCCAGTGAGGGCCACTGCTGCTGTCTCCCTTCCCATGTGGATGTCCTCTAGATCCCACTGGACTTCTGACATCCAGTGCCGAGCCGCTGCCATCACTCTACCACACAAACACCCTCCTCATCGCATTCAGGCTCCACCACCCTGGGCCAGGCTGCTCTGTGGCTCAGATGCCCTCCCCACCACCCACTCCAGTACCCCCTTCAAGTGGATGCTCACATTATCCTATTTAGGCTCTGATAACTGTAGGTCAATGACCTCTGCAGACACCCTCATCATCCATCTCAGACTCTTGACAGCCCACATTGGGCCATCGTGGTAAACTTCCAACCAAAACAGAAGCCTATCTACCCAACCTTCCAATGACTTGGACTCGGGGAGGGGGTTGTATTTTTTAATAAAAACTCTTGCCCCCTGTTTTGATCTAATGACCAATATCTTGCAAACAATAACTCAATTATAGGCAGACCCCCTGTCATCCTCTAACCAGAAGGAACTTAATAAAAAGGTTCTGGGCTCAAGGGAAATAGACTCCAACCAGAATATGTTACCGATCTCTGGCTCCAACACAGTGAGAGGCGAAAGGTCCACAGGAATGGTGCCCCAATTTACAGGATAATAATCCAGGCTCCCCTATGCTTAGGATGTACTTACCCAGCCTTTCCTGCATCACAAATATGTTTTTAAAAAGTACTGGGTTGTTTTGCTTTCATTCTAACTTACTGGAGGTTAAATATGGAGGAAAAATATGTGAGTCAACCTCTGATTTTAAAATGGTTAAGAGTCTACATATTATATGATTCTATTTATTAAAGACATCTCTCAAATGTGAGTGAAAACCTGAATGTTTGACTAAAGTGAACTGTGAATCAGAAATCAATGAACAGACCCACGGTGACTTCCTAATTCATTCATCAACGAGTAAATCACTTCTTTTATGATTTGAATTTCCTGCTACCTAAGCATCCTTTCAGAGTGAGCTTAGTGATCCAGGGAGCCATTTTTATTAGTTATTCTTTCCATTTACTCTGACCTCTGGAATACATTTGTCAGTGAGTAAATCTAACTTGAGCAAAAGATTTATCCATTATACACACATTTTCCACCTTTCCTTCAAAACAGCATTTCCCAAAGCATGTTCCAAAAACCACCGGTATCTTATACTTTCCCTGCCCCAGCCCTGGAATCAGTCAGTTCTTCAAGGAATTTTGGTTCCTTTTAGCGGAGAATGAATTTTAGAAACCAAGATCTGGACACTAGGTGTGCAGAGGACACTTAGTAAACAAATTCAACCCATGATGACTTTTTTTTTTTTTTTCCTGGAAGAAAAATACCACTGGTTAAATGGAGCAACTGAAAATCAGGAGGGAGGGAAAAAAGCAAGAAGAGAAAACATTTCCTTGCAAGGAAGCCAGAGCCTCAAGTAAATGAGAGGAAAGCTGGGCTCATTTTAGGAAGATTTAATGAAATATTAATATTTATTGTGGGATAAAAAAGAGTTTGGGACCAAATGAGATGGGAAGCACTAAGTAACACAGGTTACTATACTGCAGGACTTCCCAGATCTTATATTACATGAATCCTAAGGAGACAAATATAAAATATAGCTCTTTTACACCCACCCCCCCAACAATACTTAGCTATGGTACCTTTTTTTATAGAACATTTCTTAGAACTAATGCTCTTTAGAAAAAATGGCATCAGGAGAAGTTTCTCTAATATTTAATAATAATGGATCACTTGATGAAAAAATTTGGGCCATTTACAAAAAAAGAAATGTTAGAAGTTACATATATGGTCAAATATTTAATTCATTAATAATCAAAGAAATGCCATCAGAACAGTGAGACTTTTTACCTGTCAAATAAGCAACGAATTCTATAAATGATACTGGAGAGAGTATTGTGACCCAGGTACTCTCATACATTGCTGGTAGAGGACATCCTTTAAGAAAACAGTACAATTCTTTTGGAAAGCAGTTTAGCAAATGTTTTAAAAATGCTTTTATCTGTTGACCTTACAATGTCCCATCTGGGATTTTTTTCTTTAGGAAATAATTCAAAAGGAATAAAATGCTTTATGCTCAGAGATGTTATGGATTTATGTCTTATAATAGCAAAAAAAAAAAAAAAGCCTAAATGATAAAAATTCCCAACAACAGAAAAATGCTTCAGTAAATCAAGGTATGTGATAAAATGTTACGTAGTCTTGAAGAACACTTATAACATTTTTAATAGCATGGGGGTAGTGGCTCTGTTATAATGGTACCTGGAAAATATGGGCTACAAAAGTCTAAATGCAGCTTCAGTTGGCCTTTGGCATCCATAAAGGATAATTTAGCATACCGTTTTCTTCCAAAAGTACAGTTAGGTATAGCTTAACTTTTAAAGTAACTTTCAGACTGTGATAAAAATGACTATAAGTAAAGCACAACCAAGCCTTATTGAAATGGGAACTTGGGATAGCTGGGTAGGTCACTTGCCAGTGAAATGTCTTACTTGCAAACCCCAGCTCTGCAGTATGACATGAGGAATTCAAATACGCACCTCAGCAAAATTTTAATTCAACATATGTCAAGAACTTTCAAGGTACTGCTTGGGAATATTAGAAACAGTAAATATTAACTTTGTGAATGCTAAGGGTCTGTTATGGATTGAACTGTGTCCCCCAAAAATGTGTGTCAACCTGGCTAGTCTATAATTCCCATTATTGTGTGATTGTCCACCATTTTGTCGTCTGATGTGATTTTCCTGTGTGTTGTAAATCCTGCCTCTATGATGTTAATAAAGCAGGACTCAATCTACAAGGTTAGATTGTATCTTGAGTCAATCTCTTTTGAGATATAAAAGAGAGAAGTGAGCAGAAAGATAGGGGGACCTCATACCACTAAGAGGGCAGTGCCAGAAGCAGAGTGCCTCCTTTGGACCTGGGGTTCCTGCACTGAGAAGCAACTAGACCAGAGGAAGACTGATGGGGACCTTTCCCCAGAACCAACAGAGAGAAAGAGAAAGGCTTTCCCTAGAGCTGGTGCCCTAAATTTGGATTTCTAACCTCCTAAACTGTGAAAGAATAAATTTCTCTTTGTTAAAGTCATCCACTTGTGGTATTTCTGTTATAGCAGCACTAGATAACTAAGACAGGGTCTATTTATTATTTACTTAACTTGAAGAAAAAATAAAGGAAGAAAATATCCCCAAATCCTAGCAATATTTATTTTAGGAAGGGGTCTAAGGGGCAGATTAGGAGTGATTTTCTTTTCCTTCCTACTATTTTCTAATTTCTCAAACATTCTTAATTACCTTTTTGGTAAACTTTTTGGTGACATATACGGCATGCTTTACTTTTATAATTATAAAAAGTAAATTAACATTTGCTTGTTAAAATGAATAAAAGGCAAATACCTGTCCTTTTGTCGTGTAATCTGCCAAGATGTTGAGTAGCTTATAAAAGACTTCGAACCAGGGGAGATAGCTGGGGGAAGAAGAAGGAACACACAAAATATTAGTATGCAGGTCAAAAAATTTAACCAGGAGCTAATTCAAGACTGGTACATTTCAGCTTTTTGCTATATCATGAAGAGTCTTCCTGTCAGAGACTGTGCTGGAAACACAGACTGGAAAAATGCTAATTATTTATGATATTTTAAAAAATTGCCTGTGAGGACATCTATGTCAATTGGCATAAAAAACCTTATTAAGAAAATGTTCTGCATCCTACTTTGGTGAGTGGCGTCTGGGGTCTTAAAAGCTTGCAAGCAGCAATCTAAGATGCATCAATTCGTCCCAACCACTTGGAGTAAAGGAGAACGAAAAACACCAAAGACACAAGGGAAGTATTGGCCCAAGAGACAGAATGGGCCACATAAACCACAGACTTCATCAGCCTGAGACCAGAAGAACTAGATGGTGCCCGGCTACCACCAGTGAACATCCTGACAGGGAACACAACAGAGAGTCCCTGATGGAGCAGTAGAATGATGGGATGCAGAACTCAAATTCTAGTAAGAAGACCAGACTTAATGGTCTAAGACTGGAGGCGCCCCGGAAAGCATGGCCCCTGGTCTCTCCATCATCCCAGAACTAAAATAATTTCCGAGGCAAACTCTTCAGACAGGGATTGGACTGGACTGTGGGACATAAAGTGGTACTTGTGAAGAATGTGCCTCTTAGACAAGTAGATACAAGAGACCAAAGGGGCGGCTTCTGTCCAGAGGTGAGAGGGGAAGGCAGAGAGAGTTAGGAGCTGGTTGAATGTTCATGGGGAATCAAGGGCGGAGGGGAGGAGTATGCTGTCGCAGAATGGGGTGAGCAGTTGGGGTCTCATAACAATGTATGTTAAAAAAAAAAAAAAGTTCTGTATGGGAGACTAACTTGAAATGTAAACTTCATTTAATTACAACAATGAAAAAAAAACATGCCTGTGAAAGGGGGACGATTCAATGTCCATTATAAATTATTCCCATGCCTCAGAGCTAGAACAGACTGATAGAGAAGAAATTCAAAATAGACTCTGCAATCAAGAACCATCCCTGAATAGCCCCCCCGGATCTCCCACCACACCTTCCCTTGCCAGGAAAGCTTCAAGTTTCTCATGACTGGACACACACAGCCACACACACAGCACTTGCACTGCTGGCGCATGCAAGGTATCCCTGAAGGCCCCACAAGCCCAAAACCATTCATGTGGTTGCATCAAGTGTTCCACCTATAATGCACCCCTTCAATACTGACTGCAGGATGAACTCTTAACCCTTTGTCTCCACTGCCCTCTGTCAGATCCTGTTCACCGCTCCCTTTAACTCCAACAACAGTCTGGCTGATGACCTTACCCCTGTAGTCCACCCTCTGTATGGCCCTTAGAATGGTCTTTCTAAAATGCAAATCAAGTTACGCTCTGGATTAAATTCCTGCAGTGATGTCCCATCACTACAGGATCAAGTCCACACTTACAGTGGCATTCGAGGTTCTTCACAATCAGGCCCCTGACCATCTCTCTAGCTGTCCTCTCTCTATTCCCCTCTATGTGTATTGCTCTCATTGTAGCCACCCTGCACACACTTGCTCCTTTTATCCTTCTGACTTTCAATCTAGTCTAATTGATTTCTACTCATCCTCCCGACAATCCTCCATTTCTTAACCTTCCCCACCCATAGCTCATGTGCCTCAAATCCCACTTTTCTGGGCTGCCCTGGTCAGTGCATACTTCTGTTATAACATTCCACCCATGATGTAGCACTCAATGGCACATCTGTCTTCCCAACAGACTGTGCAGAAACTGAGAGGAAGGGTCACATCTTTCTTTGCTTCGTCTTCCCAAGCACAAAGCTTGGCACACCATCAGTACTCAGTGTGTACTGAACAAATAAAATAAAACAAAGACTAACAGCAAACGTACACTAGTACTATAGAATTGTTGCTGAAACCAAGAAGTTTGTCACTTAATTGAAATGACTTTGTTCTCTATAAGAAACTTTCCCAAAGCTACATGAAATACACATGAGAAAAATGTGGCTGTGCCAAGTGCTTGCCGTCCTAATCACGCCTGCCTTGCTGAGCTAACAGCATCCATTACTGATAGAGCTGGACACGATTTCGAGCTCTGATGGTGTATGACTACTACATCCTTCGACAGAGAGGGAAATCAGCACCCTGTACAGATTACCAGCTGTACCACTAAGGGTAATAAATGAAGTGAAAAGCAACAGAGGAGACAGATAAAGTGCACAGTCCGCTATCAATACCGTCTGTCTGAAGTCAACATATGCTACTGTAAAATTTAAGTAGCTTATCAAAATATACTGATAAGCAACTTAACTTTTCACTTCTATGACAGTATTATCACTTATGTTAATATGTTTCAATCAGCTCTGGCAGCTGCATATTGACTATTACAGAGCAAATGACTGCTGCCACTTTACTCAGTATTTACTTTGGCAGAGCAATGTAAACATTCAAGAGGGATTAGAGAGGAGATAAGTTTCTCCCTTCCTATTCTGTTAAATAAACCTCAGCCGAGTTAAAAGCCATTATAGTAGGAACAAGAAACCCCCTTAGAAGAAAACTCTTGCACAGATTAGAGGACACTTAGTAAACAAATTTAACCAAGGATTACAATTGTTTTTTTTTTTTCCACCATAGAAGAAAAATACCACTGGTTAAATGCAGCAACTGAAAGTCAGGAGGGACGGAAAAAAAGCAAGACAAAATATTTCTCTGCAAGGAAGCCAGAGCCTCAACTAAATGAGAGAAAAGCTAGACTCATTTTAGGAATACTTGATGAAGTGAACTGGGGAAGGCTGGATTCTCTGATAATTTAGCAAACAGTTCTGGGGTTGGACAACTAGGTTCAACTGACCGAAATATCTTGGGCACAGAGCCTCAGCATCCTCACCTGCTGTGGTAAGGGCTGCCTGACCCACAGCAAACAGTGCTGGGTTCTCACACTCAGCCTCACTGAGTCAATTCTTTTTGGCCACGCTGAGCACAACCATCAACCATGGGAGGGTTTGTAGTTTCCCTGGAAATTAGCCATTTCTTTCTCTCTCTGGCCTGACCAGACACAACTGTTCCCCACATGTTGTCCCCTGTGCACTGACAGATGAATGTCTAGTGATGGCAGTGTTAAGATTTTGAAACCAAAACCCAGCTGTCTTCTTCTTCAAAGGGTCCTTGTTTTCCCCTGTTGGGAGGCCAGGGTTCACAGCTGAACTTTATCCAGTGGCGTTTCCTGTACTGCTTCATTAGTGCGGGCACAACAGCTTCGTGCTGCCTGCTACGCGGCAGGTGAGGATATGGAGACCCTCCACTCCATTTTGTGCTTGTCTGTCATCGTTCGGTAAACAATACTTCCCAATCTAGGGGCAGGAAACAAACACGCCATTACGCTGTTCCTCCCTGGACATCTAACGGAGCTCAAAACATCCTGGTCCTACTCCGCTTGCTACCTTCGCGCAATCACTTGAGTCCTCACTGCTGAGTATCACTATATGGTGGGCTCAGTCCAAGGCTGGAGCCAACATGACAAATAACAAATAGCCCCTGCATTCAAGAAGGCCATGGTCCTAGTCAGGCAGAGATGCATATACAACTAAGAGTAATAATTTAGGTGGGGGAAGCTGGGAATTTTTCCCAGGTGCTCCAGTTAGCGTAAGTTTTTCAATTCATTTATGAAAATATAATGAAGCATTATTCTGAAACAATTAGCAGGGACTTGGTTGGTCAAAACAGGAAAAGGCTGCTTCCCAAGCATTGGCCTGGATCTGAGCTTCTCTCACCAAACTGTGGCTCAGGTAACTTTTTTCCAGGGTCTGCCCTCGTTCCCATGCCTGACAGTCACACTGAGGGGCTTTTGTTTTGTGTGAGGCAATACAAAGTTTTAAACTTACGAAGAGCACAAGCAGCATCAGCACTGTTCCTACCCATGAGGCCTCACTGCCACAAGGCTCTTGTACCTTATGCAGGGTCAGGCTCTAAAAGGAGGGCAGGAGGTAAAAACAGTCCATCGTCAAAATTACCCTTAAAAAGCCCTTCAGTTGTCCCAAAAGGACAGCAGACATGGTTTGTGTAGACACAAAGTAGTTGGCCTGAGTTTAGTGGACATGCTGAAATCAAAAAATGTACACAGTATATTTAAATCTGTCAGCTTAGTGAGCTGCTCATGCTCGAGATGAACTCAGGAACTGACCAGCTGAAGAACTGAGGATTCACTTTTCTCATCTCGCTCCACTAAATGGACTGTCAGGATAATCACCATCACTGTTTTGTGTGTGCGTACACACATGTATGACTGACCTTGAGTAAGTTAAGTGTGTGTAGGATGGGATTCTACTTCAGTGCCATAAGTATTATATCAGAAAACCACTACAAATTTTAAAAAGCTCTTCCACTTCCCTTCCTCAATAATTCAGTTCAAAGCCATTAGATAAGCGTCTCTGGAATGGTGAGTTTAAGTCTAGGAAAAGTGAGATGGAATAGGGTCTTTCAGTTTTCACTGGCAACTTTCTACTGCCTGAGATCTCCTGAAATTCCATCCTGGATACTCTAAGAGCAGTAACCCTTCTTTTCTCGCTTCCTCTCAGCAGATTTTGCCAATCATTGGATGGTAATGTATCCCCTGGTTAAGGCTGTTTGGCATTCAGTATGTAAAATTTTAATACTAAAAAACAAAAACCAACCCCAAAGCAAACCTATTTTAAAAAGCAGAGCAGCATGGCATATGCTGAGGAGAACACAGACTTGAGTCAAGTAACTCTGGGTTAAATCTCAGCTCTGCTACTTACTGGCTGTGACACCTTGGGAAACTCACTTCATCTCTCAAAGACCCAGTTTCCTCTTCCATGAAAAGATACATACCACCTAACTTATGTAACTGATGTATATACAAACACCTAACCCTATGCCGGAGCCCTGGTGGCACAGTGGTTAAGAGCTATGGCTGCTAACTAAAGGGTCAGCAGTTTGAAGGCATCAGCC